TCATATTAATTTGAAACATTTTGTGAACTGTCATAGGAGATTCTAAGTTTAGAACGAATTATTGAGGAAAATCGAATTTAGTAGGTCGATCTTGTGATCTAGCTAGTTAAAATATGGTTTAGATTGATATTCAGAATAATGAAAAGATTTTAATCGTCTTAGTCAAGTATCCTTATTTCTCAGAATCGTGTTGACCATTTTAGCGCATTAAAGAATAGAAAACTCTGTTGATATGTCCCGACACTCCGTTGTCATTATCTCATTAATGAACATCACTCGAGGATATGAGTGCCAAAAGGCTCGGGTCTAAGTTATAGGTTGAGCATAGAGCTTCAAAGAAAAAAATATAAATTAACAAAAATGTTGGGCGGCTTCAATGTCCTAGAAGCTCGGGACTTCTTTCTTCGCGAAAAAGACAATAGAGTAGCACAAGTAAAAAAAGATAATAATACGATTTGAGAAATGTGCTTGATGAGAAGGTTAAGGATATGAAAAAGTTCTGAATAACGGTATATATCCCATTGCTAACTAGATTTATCATAAAGATTGAAATGTCAAGTTAGGATGGCTTCGATTTCGTTCTCAGTTAACATTATGTTCAATCTTAATCTGATTCTATGATTCACTTTCGGTAAAACAGTTTTTACTCATCAATCCGAGGGTTAGTTTTCTCGAGGACGAGCAAAACGCTAAATCTAGTAGTTTTCTCGAGGATGAGCAAAACGCTAAGTTTAGGGGAGTCTGGTGACATGTATATATTGTCGCATTTTTCACATCGGATGTCTAGCGCATTGCACGATATTTCGCATATTTATAGATATACTTTGTACATTTTATTTCGACTTCGATGTTTTTAATATTTTGTAGGAGAATTAGAGTTTTGGATAAAAACGGGGTAATTTCTGAGGAAAAGATATGATCCGGAGCCAACTCGAAAACAATCCGAACACCAAAGCGTCAAAGAGGAAAAGCTTGCAAGATGCCGACATTACGAGCTTCATAACTTTCGAAATACAGGTCCACATCATACGTACACGTCATTGGAAAGTCCTTTTCAATAGTTACATACAAACATAAAAATCACTCCAATCGGACATCAGACCAGAAAGGTATGATTAAACTACTATGAGTCTATGTTCTGCAACGAACTATACAAGAACGAGCCATTGAGAGCCACATAACTTTCTTAATTCAAGTCAAATTACTTGTGCGATACATCATTGGAAAGATCTCTTTGATATTACATGTGGATACCAAGATCACTTCAATCCATTAGAGCCGAAAGTTATGAGGAAAATACTATGACTATATACTTTGGTGGTGACAAAAAAAAAATATCTTTCCTCAAAACATGAAGCTCGAGAATCATGGAGGAAAAAAGAGAGGAAAATGGGAAAATGTTTTTCTCCTTTTCTTGGCTATAAAAGGGGCACGAAGTGGAGACCTAGGATCATACACACACTTAGAGAGACAATTTTGAGAGCAAAATCCAAGCTTTCAAGGGCGATTCAAGAAGAGAAGAAGGACAAGAGGAGGAAGAGGAAGATCATGCTCCTAAATCACTAAGTTTCTCTAACTCTATTTCTCTATTCTTACTTTTGGATCATCCCTTTGATATGTCTTGATATTTCTATCGTCGTTTTATAAACCATCCATTATAGGAGTTGAAGTTTTAAATAAAACGTTTTTTTTATCAAACTTAGATAGATACTATTAGAACTCTTTCCAAATGATTTTTCACTTGGATTATACATTTCAAGATTCGATTCGATAAATTTATAAAAATCTGGAAAAAAAAAATCTAGGGACATCCGGAGGATCTTTATTCACTCAAACTGACTTTCACATTATATCCTATTAAAACTTTAAACACATGCACAAATCTCCATAATTACAAAAATATGAATTCTAACGTATTTGAATATTTATTCGAATTTTTATTAAAGGTTTGGACTTTTGAATTTTAGAAATTTCTTATACAATTTTTTTTGTTTTATTTTTTCTAGAAGCTAATTTTTTTTTTCATTTTTTTCTTGATTTGTTTTATAAATTCAATATTTAATATATCTTTTATTTTTATTTTTTTATTATTATATCTCAATGATCTAATTTTTATTTGTGAATCTCTAATAACTGAATGATATAAAAAAATATTATGATTCTGATTAATCTAAAAGTTTAGATGTGATTAATATAAATATGTAAATGATTTTTGTTATAATTCAATAACTATACATATACATATATACATATATGTGTGTGCATGTGTATGCAATAAACGAAAATATGTATGATATCTATTAGAAGGTTGGAATTTTAAGTCTATTATTCTCGTTATACAAATATTTTTATAAGATTTTTCGTTTAACAACCATATAACCATTGCTACAGTACAGATGACATATCGTCTATGTGTGGTTCTAGTCTTGTTTATAAATTGATAGCTCAACCGATTTCCGAACGATCGTTTTTTTTCAAAGTCATATATCTGATTCTCGCATATTTAAAATATTTAAGAATTCAAATTTGGAGATTAGACGAGTAAGAAACTCAAATTATCCCTTCACGAATTATAAAAAAACCCTTAGATACCATATATAGTTATAAAACCCAAATTAACTTTAGAAAGAAAAATAATTATCTCTTTACAAATCTCTTTCGCCGTCTGTTATTTTCCGATGGCTTAGTGTGTTACGGGCCTTCGGACAAAACGTCTACGACAATGTCTTGTTGAATCTCCAACGACCCGGTTGGCTCATCGCTTATGCTAAGTTGTTAACCTCATGGTCATCGTCTACGCCATCGAAAGCTACCACGTACATGACTTATCAAATTTTAATTTAACACGTTTTCTTAATTTGATTAATTATAATCGAATGCAAAAAAAAAAAATAATCGAATGCGGCCTTATATATATATATATATGTCATATTAATATATATACATATATATATATATAATTAGAATGTGGACATACGTTTTGATTCATTGACATTTGTTTTTTAAATTTAAGAGTATGTAAATAAAAAAAGATATAAATGCATATACATACATATATATATATATATACTTATACATAAATTTTATATATATGTATGATACTCCGAGAAAGAGATATCTACATGACAAAAAGAAAAAAAATATAAAATTAAGTTTTAAATTTCAATTCTCTAATAATATCCATTTATATTTTTATATGTAATTAGTAAAACATTTTGAATTTGAATATAGTTTTTTTTGTCAAAATGAAAAATTAGTGAATATTTTTGTTATTTTCAGCAAAATTTCCTGAATGTGATAAAATAAAGCATGATTAGAGTTTTTTTAGTAAAAAAGATTTAAAACAAAAATAAACGAACCAATTAAGAATAACCCAGATGAGTGGTGAATCTTCCGGACTCATCTACCATCTTTAAGAATCTCCATTGGAAAGGGATAGTGGACCCCTTGACGAAGGCCTGGGGAAGTAGCCGCATGTTTTCCATTGACTGGGATAGAGAATTTGGTTGTTATTGTGCATTGTTTGATCCATCTCACAAACCGAGTATGCAGTCCAATTGTTTACAGGATTCTTATATGCATATGTATGCATACATATATATATCGTTTATTTTTATTTTTGTCTCGTGATAAAACCGATGATATATATTACCACGTCATCCCTCTACTTGAAAGAAATCGAAGAAATTTAATGCAATTTATAACCGAAAATTGAAAACCATTTTTACATTTTTTATATGTATTTAGTACATTTTGAATTTGAATGTAGTTTTTTTTATCAAAATGAAAAATTAGTGAATATTTTTGTTATTTTCACCAAAATTTCCTAGATATCTCTATATAAATGTGGTAAAATAAAGTATGATTAGAGATTGATTTAGTGAAAAAGATTTAAACAAAAATAAACGAATCAATTAAAACTTTGATAAAGAAGAGTAATATTTCTCAAATCAAATTTGGAATGTTATGAGTAATAAATATATAATATATCAAATGCAGAAGGCAAATTCACATATAATCTTCATTACACACATATACAAACATATATACCACAAACTTGTATAAAACTTATTCTCCTAGATACATACATATTAAAACTTCACATGTTTTTAACCAAAAAAAAAAAAAAAACTTCACATGTTAGGCTTGGCTTGGCGAGCAAGACCAAAGTTGAGGATTTCCACAGAAGGGTTATTTTAGGTATCATTAATAGTTTAGGTTCGGTTTTCTACTTTAGAAGAAATAGAGGGGTAGAAAAAGAAAATCGACAAATAAAACCATCAGGGTATTCGGAAGCACTCTCGTGTCTCCTGTCGTGTGTGAACAGATGGGTTCCGTTACTCTCACGATGTCGAGAATCATATTCATAGGAGCCAAATCTTTTTCTCCGCATACTTTTCGATCAATCTCATCTCTTTCTCCTCCGGGCTTTCAAAAGATACAAGGTCGCAGTTTCCCAGACGACATACATAATATGATGTGTATATATATATTAATTAATATTAGGGATATTTTGATCATTTAACCAAATCGCTGCAATTACGGATACAAGAGATAGACTTAGATTTCTGATGAATTTAGTCCTGTAATGGGCAATGAAGTCATGAAACACCTTGCCATAAGTTACTGTCTCGAATTCACTTTTCAATAAAGTTAAGCTCTTTTATATTTCTTAAAATAAACTGGAATTCAATATTAATATTCTGCAAATTAATCCCATTAATTTGGTATAGAACCAATTATGGTAGCGAATGATGTTTTGGACAAAAGAGTTTTTAAGACCACATTAATAGTTTAGGGTCGATTGTCAACTTTGTAAAAACTAAAGGGATATTAAAAGAAAACAGAGAAAAAAAAAAGCAAACAAGGGTGTCGTGTGTGAAGCGGAAGACAACAGAACGCAGCTTGAAGTACTCTGTTACTTTTCCGATGTCGAGAATCATGGGAGCCAGATCTCTTTCTTCAGATAGTTGTCGATCGCTCTCTTCGCTCTTTCAAAGATCCAGTGCTCAGATTCCCAGCGAATTTGAACGCCAGGTAAGGCGAGTATGCAAATCGGGCGAACTGAACCTTGAAGGTGCTCTTTTTTACTTCGATAAGCTTATTGAGACAAGACCCATCCCTTCGATCGATACTTTTAACCATGTGTTGGGTTCGGTCTCGAAGCTCAGAGCGTATTCGGAAGTGCTGTCCATGTATAAGAAGATTAGGTACGAAGGCGCGAATTCTGATTTGTATACATCGAATATTGTGATCAATGCTTTTTGTCATTTGAGGAAAATAGATTATGGGATTGGAGTTTTGGGTGATATCATGAAAAGAGGTCTGGAAGCTAATTCAGTGACAGTCGCGACTTTGGTGAAAGGACTGTGTTCGGAAGGGAAAGTTTTTGACGCAGTTCAAGTGTTTGATAAAATGTCCAAGAGCGGGTTTCGTGAGGATAGGGGTTGCGAGGCTAGTGCCCGTAGTTCTTACGTGCTGATCATCCATTCACTTGTCAAGAACTGTTCAGTGGACAGAGCAATGGTTGTATTTCGGAAAATGATAGATAATGGATTTGCCCCTGGTGTTATTGTCTTTGGTAACCTCATTAATGGGTTGAGTAGCTCGGGACGATTACGTGAGGCACTCGAACTGTTTGATGAGATGGTTACTCGAGGAATCTCTCCGGATGTGATCATTTACAGTTCTTTGATTCGTGGATACTGCAAACTAGGAATGTGGGGAGAAGTTGCAAAGACGATCCAGAAAATGGCAAGAGAGGGTGTTTCACCGAATGTTTATACTTATAATATTTTGATTGATAGTCTGTGCAAAGTCAAGGAGGTGAATGAAGCGATTGAAGTGTTCGAATCCATGTTGGATCAAGGCATCGAGCCCAATATATATATCTATAACTCGCTGTTGACTGGTCTTTTTACGGTCAAAAGGTCAAACGATGCCGCTGAGTTGTTTGTATCATTGAGACAGGGAAACCTTCGACCTGATGTTGTTACCTACAGCACAATGATCGTTGGCTATTTCAAGCATGGAGAAACTAAGGAAGCATTGAAGCTACTAAGAGAGATGATTCAGGAAGGGTTGAAACCTGACGAGTTTACTTATACCATCCTTATTCATTATGCAAGCCAATCGGGAGATCTGCAGGCTGCGCAAGGAATTTTTGATTCAGCATACAAGTCTGGTCAGTCTCAAGTCTTGGTTTCGTCTCCCTCGTGTGGAGCACTCCTTAATGGTTTGATAAAAAATGGAAAACTGGAAGAAGCTCGGATAAAATTTGATGAAATTCTAGGTTTGGGTTTGGTGCCTGATGTTGTAACCTACAACATTATGCTCCATGGCCTCTGCAAAAGTAAGAAGCTATCTGAAGCGAGAGAGTTGCTTGTTGATATGGAGGCAAAGGGTTGTTCTCCGGATGCCATTTCATTCAACACGGTTATTTGGGGTTTCCTTAAGGGTGGTGAGATTGAAGATGCAGTCCAACTTCTTGAGAGCATGCTTGAGAGGAACTTTTCTCCCGATAAGGGTATTAAGTCCAAGTTAAGTCGCATCCTTGCAGATTCCAAGGGTTGTAGAACCCTTCAGGCACTTGTAGACGTTTACGGAAAGGAGATGTTCGAGTAAAATTGATATCTGTGTGAAGTCCATTCAACCAGGCTTCTTTAGGAGATCATGCAAGAACAGCAGTGGTTTCAACTTGTCATTGGGCGTGAAGTATAAAAGATGCGGTTATATATATATATATATATATATATATATATTGATTATGTTTTTTATAAAAAAGTCTGCAGTTTCCCTACGGATTTGAATTCGAGGTGAGGCGACTATGCAAATCGGGCGAATTGAACCTTGAGGGTGCCCTTTTTTATTTCGATAAGCTTATTGAGACAAGACCCATCCCTTCGATTGATACTTTTAACCATGTGTTGGGTTCTCTCTCGAAGCTCAGAGCGTATTCGGAAGTGCTGTCCATGTATAAGAAGATTAGGTACGAAGGCGCGAATTCTGATTTGTATACATCGAATATTGTGATCAATGCTTTTTGTCATTTGAGGAAAATAGATTATGGGATTGGAGTTTTGGGTGATATCAGTGAAATAAACTGGGAAAACAGTAGCTGCGAGACAGGAATCAATGAAGGAAGGATTAAAAAGAAACTTTCTGAGAGAAAGTAAGAAGCATTCTTGTATTTTACTTACATAGGCTGATGTGAGCTAAACTTGTCGTTGCTTGTCCTGATGGTATCAGCTATCAACTCCTCAAGCCCATGTTTTCGTCTGGCTAGTAGAAGTTTAGGTACCATAATCTGAAACAGGGAGATAGTGTTTACCATTTCTCTTACAAACTCAATCAAACCAGGAAAGATAAGTTTAAACAAATTAGACCATCAATTGAGTCACTTAGATTAGAATACAAAGAAAAGAAAAAGACCTCTGGCTTAACTTCCGACAACCTCAAAAGTGTACCTCTCTGTGATCTTCAGTTCCAGAAACAAATCCACATAACCTAGCTTACTGCTTAACCAAGCACAATACCTAACAAAAATTTTGTGACAACTGAGGTGTTCCCAGAGAAAACGATAAATATATATCCCATTTATATTTGAGTAAAAAGAAAAATGTATGCCAACACCATACTATTTCGTGTAGGACAGACATATAATGGTAACATTACTATATTCAACCATAAGTTAGAACGCAGCTTGAAGTTCTCTGTTACTTTTCCGATGTCGAGAATCTTGGGAGCCAGATCTCTTTCTTCACATAGTTGTCGATCACTCTCTTCCAAGTCTTCGCTCTTTCAAAGATCCGATTTGAACGCCAGGTAAGGCGAGTATGCAAATCGGGCGAATTGAACCTTGAAGGTGCCCTTTTTTTATTTCGATTTAAGCTTATTGAGACAAGACTCATCCCTTCGATCGATGCTTTTAACCATGTGTTGGGTTCGGTCTCGAAGCTCAGAATAATAGGAGATTGAAATCGAGTTGAGAAAAGCTGAGAAAGTGAAGGAAAGTTGAGAGAAAATTTGGAGAGAAAAATAATGCTCTTCTTTGTTTCTCTGTTGTATCACATTTATATACGTTCATTCACCTTCAACTAAATTACAACCGACTTTAACCAACTTAACCATCTAACAAAATTCAATACCCCTCCTCAAGGTTATATCTATGATCATCAAGATATAGACTTGAAAGATAAAATTTTCGTAGAAAAGAGTGAAACAAAGACGATTGTAAGGGCTTAGTAAAGAAATCAGCCAGTTGATTTGAAGTCCAAACATGTAATGTCTTGATGAATCCTTCCTTCAACTTGTCACGAACAAGATGACAATCGTTCGCTCATGTAGAATCTGATTCGAAGCCAAGTAGATTGATGACTGATTATCACAGAAGAGATTTGCACGCTTAACAAAATCTACCTGAAAATCTTCCAGCAAATGAGTGATCCAGACAAGTTCACAAGTTGCATTAGCCATCGATCTGTACTTAGCCTCAGTGCTGCTGCGAGAAACCAGGTGCTGCTTCTTCGTTTTCCATGATATAAGAGATTTCCCAAGAAAAACGCAAAAGCCAGTGACAGAACGACAAGAATCCTTGCAAGCAGCCCAATCAGCATATGCGAATGCATTGAGATGAAGCTCCGAAGAAACTGAGCAGAATAAACCTTGTCCAGGATTCTGCTTGAGATATCTAACCACCCGATGCGCAGCCTTCAAATGATCTTCAGTTGGCTATGACATAAACTGGGTAAGTTTATGAACATCAAATGTAATGTCAGGACGAGTTATCGTCAAATACAGCAATCGTCCAACTAAAGCCCGATAACTAGTTGGATAAGGGAATGCCGGAATCCTGAGATAAAGAAGTATTAGGATCCATCGGAACAGAGACAATTTTACAACCTGTCAAACCTGTCTCCTCCAATAACTCCAAACTATATTTCCTTTGGCTTATCGAAATACCTTCAGTGCTTCTTGCAACCTCCAAACCCAGAAAGAGTTTCAGAGGGCCTAAATCCTTGATCTGAAAGTTTTGCTGTAAAGTCCGCTTTAGCTGATCAACTACATTATCATCATTACTTGCAATGATTATATCATCAACATATACAAGTAATGCAATAAACGAGTCTCCAATCTTCCGGACAAATAATGTGTGATCAGCTTGAGATTGCTTATATCCGGAGCGGAGAAGAACAGAACTGAATATGATACCATTGTCTCGAAGCCTGTCGCAAACCATAGAGTGATTTCTGAAGCTTACATACAGGATGATCAGGAAGAGAAGGACCAGCTGAAGCAGTGTAACCAGGAGGCAATTCCATGTAGATTTCTTCATCCAGATCACCATGCAAGAAGGTATTTGTGACATCCTATTGTGCATCGATTACCGATGGCTCAACCAAGTGACTATCAAGAATCGGTACCCGCTACCGAGGATTGATGAGTTGCTAGACCAGCTACAGGGAGCCCAATGGTTTTCGAAGATCGATCTACGATCCGGATATCATCAGATTCGGGTCAAGGAGGATGACATACAGAAGACGGTATTTCGGACGAGATATGGACACTTCGAGTTCGTGGTCATACCTTTCGGGCTCACGAACGCGCCTGCGGTATTCATGCAACTGATGAATCGCGTGTTCATGGACTATCTGGATAAGTTCGTCATCATTTTCATCGATGACCTCCTTATCTATTCGCCGGATCCGCAGACACATGAGGAGCACCTGCGAAAGATATTGTGGAGACTAAGGGAGAACCGGCTGTACGCGAAGTTCAGTAAGTGCAGCTTCTGGTTACAGGAGATTGGATTCCAGGGACATGTGGTATCGGCTCAGGGCATTCAGGTCGATCCGGCAAAGATTGAGGTCGTCATGGAGTAGCAGTCTCCGACTTCTACGACGGAAGTCAGGAGCTTCTTGGGACTAACCGGCTATTACCGACGATTCGTCGAGGGATTCGCCAAAATCGCTCGACCCTTGACAAAGCTGACAGGGAAGAACGCCAGGTTCAAGTGGACGGCAGAATGCGAGGAGAGCTTCGGAGAGTTGAAGCGGAGATTGACATCAGTGTTGATCCTGGCATTACCACGGCCGGGAATGCTATACGAGGTATATACTGACGCGTCCAAGCACGGAATCGGTTGCGTGTTGATGTAGGAGACACACGTGATCGCTTACGCGTCGAGGCAGCTGAAGAAACACGAGGAAAACTACCCGACACATGATATGGAATTAGCAGCGGTAGTTCATGCGCTGAAGATTTGGAGATCGTATCTGTACGGGCAGAAGGTTAAGCTCAACACGGATCACAAGAGCTTGACGTATGTGATATCTCAGAAGGATCTGAATCTGAGACAACGAAGATGGTTGGAGTTGATTGCAGATTATGATCTAGAGATAGCCTACTAGGGGTGGGCGAACGGTCGGTTTCGGGTTAATCGGTTACGGTTATTTCGGGTTCGGTTATTTCAGTTTATGAAAAATCATAACCAAACGATTAATTAATTTTATTCAGTTCGGTTCGATTCGGTTTCGGTTCGGTTTTGTCTATTTAAAACTATAACCAAATTATAACCAAATAAAGATTTCGGTTCGGTTCGATTCGGTTATATTAAACAAAATATAATAGAAAGAAAAAAAAACTCATCTCGACAAAATAAACAACAAAATCAGCATAGTCTTTCATAGTCTTGACAAAATAAAACGACAAAATAAACAAAAATTATGTTGCCTCCATATTGTCAATACAAAAATAAATTGAAAAATGCTCCACGTCTAAATCTTCTCGAAATCACATCTTCATTTTGTAAACCTTGAAAATAATAATACAAGGAGTAAATAAGTATCAATAAATACAATGTAATGTAAAATTATAATCGAGATAAAAAGAATTACCATGATTAGTCTTCATCTTCTTATACAGATAAATCACTTTGTCCCGGTATATTCTGGATTCTTTGCAAACAAAAATAAATCGATAAGTCATTAAATTAAAGCTTCACATTATATTTAACAAACAAGGTAAAAATAATAAGAAATACCTTCGGCCAATGCATACATAAAGTCGTTCTCTGCGATCACATCACCAAAGTTGCGATTTTCATCGGAATAAATAGGGTACTGCAACCAATTTTGCGTAAGGATCAATGACTCAACCATATCGGGAGTTAAACAACTCCAACATTGGTCTAGAATGCGACCTCCGGTACTAAATGCTGATTCGGATGAAACGGTAGAAACTGGAAATGCCAATACATCTCTCACCATTTCCGATAAGATTGGAAATTTACCACTCGTCACCTTTCACCATGATAAAATATCAAATTTCAAACCTAAATTGTTAGGTTTTATCACCTCAACGTTTTCCATCAAATAGATATCCAACTCATTCGGTGATTCCTCGATAACCCCTTTGTCCGCCATCATTTGACTGTACGAAGCAAACGGATCATCATCTTGTATGAAACCCATGTCAATATCAAAATCATTGGTACCCATTGACAATTCACCTGACTTTGTATTACCAACCATTCTATTTCTACTTCCACCCCTTCTCCATGTAGTACTTTGTAGTTGTACCATTCATACTACGAGTCAAACAATCTGCGCATCACTTCAGTGATGGCCCTCCTCATTTCACCACCTTTAATATTATATTTACCATAAAGCTTGTCAAAACAATGAGATATAAAACTCATCTTACTCCTTGGGTCAAACACAAATGCAATAATCAACAACTTATTGATTTTTTTCCCAATATTTGTCGTACTTATTCTTCATCTTCTTCGCCATCTTGCTCATTTCGTGAAAGGGGTTGTTAACCAATGATGATAGAACCGATTCAACCTTTATGATCTCATTGTAACAGCTACTAGAAGTCACCTTTGTAGAAGCAGAAAATGTCAAAGTTGATTCATAAAAAGTCTTCAAGAATCGTACCAATCGACGAGCATTTTTCCAATCAACTTCTGAAGGAGGACCAACTCTTTTCTTCCCAATCCTAAATTCATCTTCATCATCAAACTAGTCTTCATACAGTTTGTCTTCCTTTTCCATACATTTAAATGTTTCTTTGAACTTCAAAGCG